ATTTTGCGCGCAAAAGGGCGTCCCCTCGCGGTTCAATTGTCGAGAGCCACGGCAAACAAGATCTCGTTCGGTAAATAGAAAATTCCTCCTGCGAAATTTATTTTAGAACAGATTATATTCAAGAGATACCCCCAAACTGGCGAGACCTCTGCGTCTAGTAGTATATTTTATTAGATTCCGGCTGTTTAATTCGACTCACGTCCCTGGTAGATATCAGCCTTCTCCATTTAGAATCCCGCATAGTGCGGAATGAGGTATCAACGGTAAAGCCTAAGACAACACATAGCTCGTAAGTCGCGAATGGGAAGCATTAAGCTTTAGGAATGGAAATTTGTTTACGAATGCTGAGCACAGGGTATATTCCTTCTATATATAAAACGTATTCCACATTTTTATTACGGCTTTTTTGTTGACAGGCTGAACCGTAGGAATACATCAGAAATGGGATTTGACCTTATTTGTACAAGGCTCGCCCTTTCTGTACACCGACAGAACCGTTTGCTTAAATTTATCAAATTCATCAGGAGTGGGATCTCATCCTATTTTTATATACAGGGTGGTTCACAAATGGTGACCAAAAACGAAACCTCATATTCTTTAGAGAATTTTAAGGGGTCTTTTCTAAAAAGTTTTTATCTAGGACATTAAAAAGATACAGGGTGTTAAACTTCAAAAAATATTTTTAATTTTTTTAAATAATTTAAAAACTAGTAAGGTTCCGGTATAACCGGAACTACAATGACCTTGAAAATATGCTAGCTTGGTAGATCACACGGTCTGTATCACACCCCCACAATTTCAAAAAAATCCTTCGAACGGTTTCCCAGATATCCATCGATGGAGTTCGTGGTGAGACACCCTATATAATAATACCGGTACAAGAAAGTCGGATATTTCTAAAAAAAAGTCACCTCTCCCCAACAAAGTAAAAAAATCATCGACAATTCTTGCAGAGCACGTCGTCAGGTTCATAATCAGTCGCAGCCTGAATACCGAAACGGCAGCGGCCCTTATGCCAAAATGAAAAAAGTTTCCCGCTTTTCATATTTCTTGCAGGTTTAAAAAAAGTTTCCTTTAATTAATTTTCTTGTTTAATGGGCCTATCTGTCTCTCTTCGCGTGGCTACCGGATATCTATAATTCATTTAGTTTCAAAACTAATTCCCAATTAATTTTGCCAACGATTTCACATTTTTCATCACAATTCTATTCGGATGCCGTGATAACAAAGCCGCCACATCGGCCCTCAAGGGCTTCTTTACGCGGCCTTTTTACGTCCCCACAACTTTTCTTTGTCTTGCGATCGTTCCATAATCAGAATTTTTTCCAGGATCTACCTCGTAATATAACAGACGCTATTGTGTTAGCTTTTCTATTAATAATAACCATAATACATATGTCTCCTTTAAAACTGGTGAATTTATTTTATAGTGCATGCAATTGGTAAGCTTTGTTCTATGAAATTAACCTAACACTAATCTAAAATCACCAAGTAAAATATAAATGAGTCTTTGTGGGGCCTTTATTCATAATTGGTCTTTATCCATAATCGGCCTTTATTCATAATAGTCCATTATGAATAATGACCGAACATTATGAATAATGCCCTTAGTCGCTACTTGTTCCGTAGCGTCTTAAAAAGCACAATTAATCATTTAATTGACACACCTACTCCCCTGGACGCAGCTATGTTAATGAGAAGAACGTTACAGTGTACACCAATTGCCGTCGGTGAGTTATCGTCCTGCGATTCCAGATCTGTATCGGGTGTAAATTATGGGCCTTGGACAAACATTTAAGCCCCCCTCGGATTCCTTTTAGGCATATTATGTTGACATGGCAAATTGCAAGGGATTGCGGGGTGTTCGCACATCCAGGCAGATATTTGATCGCCGCTTATTGATGGCGGGCACATCATAATGGCTGTTCGGGCGGCCGCGTCGGGGATTATGACGCCGTGGATTTATCGGGGCCCCGGGAGGGATAGCCTGATTTTTGGAACGGAATTATGACCGGTCGGATGATTAGTGGGTGGAATTAATTTTAATGCGGGCGACGGAAATAAATGAATAACGGAATTTCCGTTCTATAGACTTCAGGGTTTGTTTTTGGCAAGTGAAAGTTTGGATTTTTATCTACCTGTCTCGGGATCATAATATATCAGCCCCTCTTCCATACTGTCGACAAACAAAATGAATTTTTTTAAAATAATTACAAAAGATTCATAATTCTACGGTACCCCTTGGTTCAACTGCTGAATAGTATAGACGGTAAATAAGTACAAATACAGCAAGTACAAATTTAACCAAAATTTCTTAATTTAGGTAGAATGCACTAATATTTAGCATTTTCAATAATTAAAAGCGGTTTTGCTGTAAAGCGATGCTTTAAATTAATAATAATTTAACTTCTTTAAAACTGATTGAGAACTTCTGGAATGGTTTCCGCCAGCGCCAGCGGTTCCAAAACAGTTTTCGTTGTATCATTGTGGTAAGTCACTAGATATTTAATAGTTATTTGTGGTACTAGTGTGTTACGGTATATTTAAGTCACGCTGGGAAGTGGCTAATTTTCCCAAGCGACTTATATGACGTATCACACCAGTGCCGTACAAAATTTTATCCAACACTTTCATAGAATTTCGTTTTAATAATAAATAAAAGTAACTTAAAATTTAACGGAATGAATGTATTTTTAAATATTATAAAGAATGCGAGTGTCAACCTAAATTGTGTCTGTAACCAAGGGTTGTCAGTAAACAAACAATATTTTTTGAGTTGAAATCACGTTGAAATCCTAACACCAAGACTGAGTATATGAATATATATGTAAAAAAGTCTGTAGATAAATAAAGTATAAAATCAATTACCTACCTAAAAAAATTTATGAATACGAGCTGAAAAATCGTTTTTTTTTTCACTGACATTTGATATTTTAAGTTTTAGGCACATATCGGATAATATTTATGAATATCATTTGTTAAATTAAAATTATAGGTAGGTACACAAAAATATATTTACATTTTCCATCACTCGCTTCTAAAAATGTTTAAACCGGCAGTATTTCACGAACACAGGTAATACTAAAAAATAATTGTTATTTGACTAGGAGAACGGATCTGCATAAAGTTTTAAATGATATTTTAATATGCTGGTTGAAAATTTTAAAGCAGAACTGTGTCGAAATTTATTTGTTCTATAAAACGCTTTGACGAAAATATTAAAATTTTAACAGAAAACAATGCAAGTGTTACTGATCATTTTAATAATAACAGCACGTTTTGACTGTGAAAATATAACCTGCAAAATTACTGACACAAAGCATTACTTTGTGCCTAACAGCAGAGAACGAACTGCTAACCTGAAGCAGAACTAACACAATAACAGGCGAAACAATTTTTAATTGGTATAAGTCAATGCTGTCGGGTCTATAGTTCTCAGGGTAGTTGTTTCCCACACGTGGTGTTTTATTAGGTAGCATTAACAATCCCAACAAATCCATTACGTTGTTAAGTCACCATGTTTTAGTTTTTTACACTGGAAATCAGATGAATAAATCAAAAAGAATAGTGGACCCAGTACATATCCCCGAGGAACACCGCTCACAACACCTGGATTATCAGAATGAGAATCACTTGCTTTAGCACTAAACTTTCTTCTTGATGAAAAATTCCCTGAAATATAACTGAAGAAATCGTTCTGTTTAACAAAAAATTAAGTCTCTCCCACTTAATAGTTCCCCGCTATGTCTACATTGTCTCGTGTCGTATCGGCTCAATAACCGACTGCATGAATCACCCACTTTGAGTAATAATTAAGCTTAGCGCCATCAACCCGATACTTTACCTCCGATGCATCTCGCACCTCACACAATGTAGTTTTACAGACGATGCCACGCTACTTTAAATTACAGGTCTGTTTTAAAACGGGGGCAATGCGTAATGAAAAACCTATAAAGCTCTGACAGTGCAGGCGAATATTTTACATCAGTGTATATCTGGCTGCCTTAAATCACCAGAAAGCAAAAATTCGTAGTGGATTCCGTATAAACACTCCGTTTCTGCGGGTACGTTTGGATATTTTCGAACCTGCAAGAGGAGAATTCGCCCCATCCTGAATATATATCGCTAATTTATCGGGTAATATGGGATTTTGTGCGAGTTCTCGAGGAAGGTAAAATATATCAGTCGTCTATTTTTGTTTGTTTATATGGATATTTCGACTTACTCACATTTTTATCCCCGTCTCCAAAAATATACACAGCAAAACCCTCAAAATGCGAGAAGTGTCCCTCAGGGATCAGTCCTTGGCCCCTCATTTATAACTTTGTTATAAACGACCTAACCTAACCTCAATATTGTGTTCTTTCTAAAAATACATGGAATGTATGAAAACGTGTTTGTAGTAACTAGGATGAGCTTTTAAAAATAGATTTACTGCAATTAAAAAAATCTATGAGGAATCTTGAAGCGATTTGAACAACGTTTGAGGAGTACGGATGACGTGATGCGGGTGCCGATCGGAAATGAAAAATGAACACGTTTTTTTAGTATATATTTTGTAACCAATATAATTTGGTCGTTAGCTAGACGTCTGGCTTGAAAGCCGGCAACGGAGCTGGATCTTCTTCCAGTGGATTCTCCAGTTTGCCAGCGAACAGTATGCTCCCCGTTGCTTCCTCTTCCACGAAGAATAGGAAAGGATGAGTTGCGTCGAAGAAAGCATCGGCCTCTCCTATTTTATTTCCGATATTTACAGCTGGAAAGAACATAATTTTATGACCATACTCTAGTAGGTATAGGAGGGTTAAGTTTAGTCAATTTTTTTAATAGCTAGGGTTATGGAACAAAGAATCAATCAATGGAAAATGGGCCCCAGTAGATTTTGCTGAAATTGCAGTATGTTATAGTTTATATGGTAAATATTATTAGTCATAGGTATTGCATAAGCTGTAGCCACAAAATGCTTCTATTTACATATTTACACTGAGAGAAATACTAGATAATAAAAATACATTTTAATCAAACTTTCAGATTTACAGTAAAGAATACTTTGGTATCACAAATTTGCAGTCGATTCACAAAGTCAGTCCCACCAATCACTTAAAGGGCAAAATGTATTGATTCCATAACAAAAAAATATATAACTCATGAGCAAAACATTATAAACATAAAAGTAATAACAAATATATATATATTTCTCGCTTTATATCTTAAGCTAGGAGGACTTCATTTGCCTCTAGTTCTTCTAATGGGTTATTTAATATACCAGCAAATTGCACAGTTCCACTCTTGTCGTCTTGTATGAAAAAAGCAAAAGGATGAGAAGCCTCAAACTCATCTGTGCCTCCAAATCTATCTGATATACTTATCTCTAAAAAACACAATCATGTATACTCCCCTGGCCCCTTGCTATCGTTATTGAAGAAACAAATCTGTATTTGCGACAATTAAAGTAAGGACAGAGAAACCAAGATGCATAATCAAGTAAAAAATAGAGTTTAACTGTATTAAACTTTACCTGTTGCTGCATAAGCCACTGTTCCAGTCTCGTCCAACTCTATGCCAGCCTTCTGGATCACGTCGCTCACCACCAGCTTCCTTAGGAGTGTGGAATTCCCCCTCGCAATACCCGGAAAACTGGCGGTGTTCTGAAACATCTGGTGCATTCCGAACTGAAAACGCATTAATTAAGCACTGCTCAGGTCACAAACGTTTCTCTTTTACCTTCTGCAAAATGGGGGCTAGCCGTTTTTGGAAATCAAACTTGAACTTGGGTAAAGTCACTTTAACCGTCCTTTTATCCATCAAATACAAGAGTGACTTGACGTTGTAGAGGTTGATCCTCTTTAGTAGAGCCGGAAGACCTCCCTTGGAATTTGGCAGGATGATGATCATCGAGTAACGCCCCCCCTTGAAAAAAATTGTACTTCAGTGTGACCGACAAGCGTTAGCTTCACAAATATTGTTAAAATCATGAACCCAGCTGCATAATCTTACTTTGTAGGGAAGTCTTAGGATCTTTGCATCGAAATTTTGCGATTCGACGTAATAGAACTGCTCTTCGTTGGTCATATACGGAACTGTAACTGTCAGAATGTCATCGTTGTTGACCAAGTAGAAGTTTCCGTGGAAGCTCTGATTTTTCGGGAACTGGTGCCTCCAGCTTCCCTTGAAGTACACAGCGTTGGCTATCAGCATGATGGTGTCCCTCAGTTCCTCTGAAAAATGTAATTATTGACTAAATTCTTTAAATATTAATGGTTTTAATGTTGTGACTGAGTATAAACTTTAAGGAAGACGGACCAGGTTTTACCAGTTGAGTTATCCTTCCATTGGTCAATTTATCCACCCAGGAGTTGATTGCCTCGCTGGAGTTGGCCTCAGAAAAATCGATGGGTTCTATGTCCGTCTTGAAGAAGTCTTTCGCTACACTGGCGAACTTTTGCTTAGGCTCTATTTCAGAACGCAAGAAGATCCTGGAACCCATGTTGAGGACGTATTCGTTTTTTTCTGAAACCTGAAACGTGTGTTCGATTAATTCCATTCGGATTGGAGGAATTGGAGTATTTCCTACCTGCAGGGCTGTGAGAACATCGCGATACTGGTCTCTGACAGACACCTTGTCGACAAATTGCATCACATTTTGGAATTCTCTTTCAGTGGCTCCGCTAGAACCTTGGTAGAGGAGAGCCAGGACTATTCTAAGGCTTATAGGGGAGAAAACGACGTTCCTGTTGTCCGAAGCAAACTCCTGGAAAAATATTTACTCGGTACACATTAAGGAATTGTTTGACTTACAAACGACGTCTTCAAGGGCATGCGAACTAAATAACATATTTTCCCTGATATCCAGTAATAAAAACTCACTGATCTATGCACATTTCTACCGAAGAACACCTCAACCATTAACCGGCAATTATCGCGCTCCGTTCCCCACCATCTATCAATACTAATTAGTGAATCGTGACAAAACACCATGCCCGTATGGAAACCCCAAATTACGAACCGGTAGTATGCAGATAAGTTTTACGTCAGCGAGTCAGTCAAGTTAGAAGTTGAGGTGATGGGGAGCTGCGAGCGTCAGTACCCCAATACGAATTTATGAAAATGTTCGTTTTAGGGGCCAACAACTTTTCTACAAGGGACGGAGGTAAAAGTGCTGCAGACTGTTAAACATATCGCCATCAGAACTGCAGTCGTTGATTAATGGTCTAAGATGTACCGTTACTCGTTCCCGTACTCTGGGAAGTGGTGTTTAAAAAACCCGTATATTAATTTCAAGCTTACTTAAATTGATGATGACATGAAATGGTATTCGAATCAAGTTTTTATAACCGCAAATGTATATTAAATGATACAGTCATTTTTTTTTGGGGCGATTAGTTTTCCCCAAAAAAGCAGCTCTTACTGACATTAAATAATGGACAAAATTAGTTAAATACATTCGATGGAATATCAAGCAACAATTTTTAATTCGCGTTCTAGATTTACAACGCAGATTTTTTTGTTTTTGTTTCAATTTAAAAATCTCGGGGCTTTGGAAATACCTAAAGATGAAAAATAACTAATTACTGACCCTGCTATTTATGATTAATAAAAAATAGTGTCTGCGTTTATATCATCTTCACTATTGTTGGTCCATAAGCGAAACATTATTTACCAACTACAATCGGCTGGCTGGCTGGCTATTTTTTTTTCAATGTCTTCCAAATATTTAAATTGAAACAAAGATTAAAATTCAATGTCTGCAAAAAAATTTGCATTATAATTCGATCTGTACATATAAAAAATTCTGGTTTTGAGTTTTCAGTGGCTATTACTGTATATATGCGTATTTTTCATTATCTGTAGAAGTGACATATTATACAATACTGGAAAGCAGAAAAAGGTTTCTTTCTTCATATAAGTTCATATAATCGTAGGTCCAAATATGCTTCATTTCTGAGATACAGGGTGTTTAAATTTATTTTTTTAAATTTATTTTTATAATTATTTTAAGAGTTTTAAAGATATTGTTTCGAAATTTGATGGTTGTATTTTATTTAGAAATATTGAAAGCAACACACTAGATAATGTATCAACAGAAATTTAAAATACACAACTATAATATCTATGTTTTATTTTTTCCTCAAAAACGGTGCATTCTACGAAATAAATTGAAGAGACCAATTTCATTCAGAATTGATGGCGGATTTCTAAAAAAATATCAAAACGGTAAAAGTCACTGGCGTACCATTTTTTTATTAAAAAAGGTCGTGGCACTCTCGCACGAACGCCACTGGTGCAAGTAGAAATATTTGGATCACCCCAAAAAATGCATATTTATCCTTCCAATAAGTTTTTCAAATTTTGAGAAAAAACCTTTAAAACTTTTTGAAATAATTAAAATTAAAATTTAAACACTCTGTATCCCGCAAACGAAGCATATTTCGACCTACGTTTTATGAACTTTTTCACAAAATAACTTCAGCAACTACCCACTAAAATATTTCGCACTTATTTACAAACATCCTGGATACAGAGTGTATCAGCCCAGTGGAATAAATTCAATAATAACAAATGGGGGCGTGTTCGAAAAAACGCTCGCACACGTCAATTGGTATTTTTAGTTGCGCATTTTTTCCAATAAAAACTTTTTATACAGGGTGTCTGAACAATGGTCAATACCAACTTTCTTATTTTAAATGCAACTCCTTTTATATTATTCAATTTTTGGATTCTTCAGAAAATTCTAGACATATTTCATGTACAATGTCCTATACCTATCTTCAACTGTTTCGGAAATATTAAGTGTTTCCAGGTATATACATACCTTCAAAAGTTTCCAGTCAAAAATATCGGACCAATTAAGTGCTGGATAATACACATCTTTGCCTTCGTCAACCGATGGCGACTGTACATCTTGCCCTCTAATAATAACAACTACGGCTAAGACCAAAAATACTGAAAAAAAAAATGGATATAAATATAATACGGATTCAAAAAGACACTACTAAATTATTAATTATTATAAAGGCTTCAAATCGCCAGTGTTGTTTTGCTGCTAGTATCATGCGTTGACCTTAGATCGAGACATACAGGTCAGTTATCAAAACAATTAAAGAGACGTGGTAACTTTGACGAACACGCTGTATTTTTAGAAGTTACCAGTTTGTTTAGCGACTTACGTAAGAGCGCGTTTTCTATCCCATTGCCTTGTATTGGAACAATGGGCTAAGCTAATCGTAACCTTGACATTTCATGGTAAACCTCAAAATTAGTCGAAATATAAACAGAAAATCGTTCGTTGTTAAAAAACGCCTAGGAATATCACAGAAAAAGTTTAATTTTAGACGTTACTGTTAAGGAGAGCAAAAAATATCTAGAGCAAGCCTTTCGGATTCACCAAATAAGACCCTTATCTAACGATCCGTAAAAGCAATCGCTTGTTTTGAATTTAAACGATCGAAAAAACTGCGATTTATTAAAAGCGAGCAAAAAACTGACGGGGCAAGCATTTTAAGTTAATTAAATCGAAAGAAAAACTTACCAAATAATCCCGACATTCTGCTGGGCAACGAAACCTTGTGCTTGTATCACGGACAGCGGATGACCCGATGGATATAAAAACCAGTCCTTCCCGTTGTATCACAAACCACAGCTGATTCAGCAAATATTAACAATACATCACTTTTATATTAGACCCTGCCCATGGTTAGATTAACTCTCTGTGTGGATTTTTGTTCGCTCACTGAAGTTTTCTGAGTAAAAACACATTATTGTCTTCGAAACTTATCAACGATTCCGAATAGGCAAGAGAGATAACCAGTTTGGTGGGCAAGCGATAGTTGGTCTTGGAATTCCCAGGACAGGGCCGGACCTGAAGAAATTGAATTTAATGCAGCGAAAACCTCGCAGGCAACTAAGAATTGTACAGTGTATATAGTGGGCACCTGTAAATTATTTTTATTATTATCATTTAAATATTTAAAAAACAAATTGGTGCCTCAAAATTCGACTGGGGGAAATTTTTTTACAAATGGATAGTTTTTTAATACTTACCGTAATACGAAGATAGGTTTCTTGAATCACTCCCTCCACCAAAAGCTCGGCTGGTTTTTGTAATAAATTTCACACAATTCACATAGCACTAGTTTTTTTTTCAATTTTTTCATTACCAAAATTAAAAAAAATTGTAAATAATCTTTATTTACTCAACTTTTAATTAAAAAGAAATAGGTGAATAATATTTGTACCATTCGAGGAAACATTTTTAGAACCGCAGACTTCGTGGATGGCTCGGCTAGTTTTTGTAATAAATTTCACACAGTTCACTTAGCACTAGTTCCTTTTTCAATGCCAAAACATAAAAAAATGTATTACAACACATTACATACTACATACATACATATTACATTAACAAATAATCTTTGTTTATGCAACTTTTAATTAAAAAGAAACATGTGAATAATATTTGAAAATACTGTACCTACTACGTTTAAGAATTCGGGAAAAAATTGAAGAGTCATTAAATCGGGGTGTAAAAACTCTGGAAATGTTTTGTTCACAATACGAAAACATAATTTTCCGGAGGTTCTCAATAGGTTTCATCAATCTCGATTGTTCTTAATTTTAGGCACCGTTTTCCAATTCCAATCTATGCTTGTATGTATACTACTTTATTTGTTATCAGTCTTGTTATTATTTCTTTATATTAACCTACTAATTAAAATTCTATGGAAAAACATTAAAATCTAAGTACATATGAAAACTTACATTACATCTGTAGAAAATTAATTCCCCAGACGATTGAAATATTTCAAGTACGGTCCTGACAACTATTAATTCCTAATTATAGTCAGCTAACCTATGCGTTAGCTGTTCATTAATACAACAACAGAATTATACGTTTCCCTCCAAGAACGCTACACCTCCATCAAGTATTTTCAAGCCGACATCAAAATATTGTTAACGAATTCATTCAGACGTAGATATGTATAATTTAAATAAATCGTCGACAATTTTTGATGCTACGTATAGTTTCAGATAAGCGTGATTAAGCCTCAGTTTTCCTAAAATTAATCTTAAGTGGAGTTCTCCAAAGATCCATTCCGGGGCCCTTCCTGTTTGTAATGCTTATCAATGATTATATTTTTGTTTCTTTCAGTTTGAACCTTGCCCAAACGCTAACACCAAATAATACCCTCAAAAAGGGATAGAAGACCTGCTCTGCACCAAAATTTAACCCAGCACAGTGCTACATATACGAGAAAAACCCAATAAACAACAGCAATTTTAATAAAATTTTATACGTGTTATGTGTCCACAGTGCTCCGAAACGAACTATACCTAATTTAAATGTATCTAAATATGAAATGAGTTCCTGTCAGGGGCTGACGATTCTGATCATCGTCTGACGTAGAGCGTTACTGTACTCCATTCATTATCTTGAGGCACAAAAGTGTGAATGATGGGCTTTCCACGATTCCAACTAACCGGTTTTTTTTTTGGGACATAGTTTGGTGGAGGCTGTTTACAAACAAGAGTTTAATTTTCTAAAAATCGCGAAGAATTCAGCTGGAGGCGCTCGGGAAATCCGTGATGCAACATGAAATCGTTTTGCGGTAGACGATTTCTAAAATAAACACAATGATAATAAAAGCGCATACTTTCCTTCGCGGATGAAGACAAACATATGAATATTGATAATATAAACGTATTTATTGTGTATGAAACCAGATGTTTGTGCAGGATGAAAGAAACACATGTTTGTTTGAAGAAAATAAGTGTGAGGACTGTTTGTTTCTATTCAACATTTAATTACAACCACTTTCTTAACTAATGCAATTTTTATATATTATTTATAGATCGAAATCTATATATCTCTTTGCACGAATCAAAAATGCAAAAAATTTGCAAAATCTGTTTCTTAAAATTACAAACTTGTTAAAATTACAAAAATGTTTCTTAAAATAAGAATGAGGTAATTTACTTGATTAAATGTTTCTGTATAGGGAATGGTAAGCCCCAATATAAACGTATATTGATAATTACTATAGTAGAATAAATAAAAATTAGGTTTAATTAATAATAATTTATAGGTTCTGTAATCCCCAAGTATTCTGTGAATTATATAAATAGTTTAGTACCAATATTTTTAATTCTATGTAGACGTACTTTTAACATATATAAGTCTGTTTAGAAATGAAAGAGAGTAATAAAAGCTTATTATGTATGCAAATCGTAAATAAATGTAGTACTGGTGCTTATATTCAATATTTTTATATTATGTATTATCGGTATAGATGAGGTGTACTTTTAAAAAAACTTTGTGTGACCGGGTTGTACTAAATTGTAGCAGGTAGCTAAAATTTAATCCCCGACAATCCGTCTTTGTCTATGCCGCTTCAATTTCTCGGTCCATTTCTCTTATAAGTAAACAATATAAAAACAGCATTTCAAAACATGAGGCTACTTTAAGCATCATAACCGGGTTAAGAGGGTTTTTAGTAATTCAAATAAAATTATTCAATATTATTATCAAAATATTTATTTAAATTTAATGAATAGACTTTTATTCCACACAAAAATATATGTATTTTGAAAATTCAAATTATGGTGAGTAAATGTAGTGTTGTATAAATGTACAATAAAGAAAATAAAAAAGTAGGTATATTAAAATTCATCCTCTGAATATTCTGATGAATTATCTTCGTCTCCTAGATTGATAACGATAGGTTCCACAGTAACGTCAATTAAATTATCGAGTTCCCACATTTTCTCCTCTTCTTTTTGTACATGATGTATACATCTTTGCCAGTTATCTGCAGTTACTCGTTCCAAGGAATTTTTTAACAAAATTTTCACGTCACTTAATTTAAACGTCGTATTATTTCGCGCTACATCTCCTTTTACCTGCGCCCAGACTAATTCGATTGGGTTAAGTTCACAGTGATAAGGTGGTAACCGTAGTACCGTTATTTGGCGATTTGTTGCCATTTCATCGATAACATATTTTTTCTGATCTTTATTAAGATTGACAAGTGTCAAAAGTTCCTTTTTCACCATATTTGTTTCAAAAGAAATGTTTTTTCCGGATAACCATTGAATTATATCGGCTTTCCTCCAAGCAGTCGTAGGCGTCCGCTCGGTCTGCCGTGAATGGTAACTGGCATTATCCATGACAATTACAGACCCCGGAGGAATAAGATCCAACATCTGTGTAAAATACTCTTCGAAAACATCTGCGTTCATGTCTTCGTGATAGTCACCTGTATTTTTAGATTCAAATAAAAGTAAACCGCCATCTACAAAACCACTGGCACTACCTATATGTGTCACTATTAATCTTCGCCCTTTACCTGAAGGTGCCTTGAACCCTGTTGAAAGTCCATCCAAAAATGCTTGTCGAAAACTTTTTACATTTTTATCTTGCCATACTTTTGTTACAGTATATCCCTCGTTGACCCAAGTTTCGTCTAGATAATAAATATTCCTCCCTTCGTCACGGAATTTTCTAATTGATCTTAAGTAGGATCTTCGCCAACAAATAATTTCATCTTTATCGATAAGAACTGACTTCCTGTTCTGCTTTTCCCAGCAAAAATTCAACTCTCGTAAGACGGCCCATAATTTGCTTCTACTGATTTTTGGCAAATCGTTGTCCTCTGAAAGTTCACTTAAAATTTTGTTTAGCGTTGGTATTTCTTTTTTAAAATAAAATGAGTGTACTTTTCTGCGAATGACATTTTTGAAGAAATCATCTATAACGACTTTTGACCTCCCTGTAGATGATTTTGGGGGATTTACAGTATCTTGTTCATTTTTTGTTTCCTTTAAAACTCTGTAGATAGTCGATTTTCCAATCTCTGTCATTTTTGTTAGCATTAGTGTTACCCGATAATTACCTGAAACGAAATATTACCACACCAAAGGCCGGTTCTTATCTCGGGGTTTTATTACTCTCTTTCATTTCCAAACAGACTATAGTCTTGGCGGCTTTTTGAAGTAACTTGTGACATATACAGGATGTTTCACCTAATAGGTATTCTTCTGTAAAATTTATAAAAAAATTTAGATCTTTAGAAATTAAAATATCGATTTGAAATTTTCAGAATTGAGATTTTTTTCAACCTAGAAAATGATAAAATAACGAGAAAAAAATAAAAAAATTTTTTTAAATCTTGACCGACCTCCAAAAAAAATTTTTTTGAGCTGATTTTTTGGGGGGCTCTTAAAACAGGAAAAACTAACATATTTTCACAAGACACGAAAAAAATATTCGTCTTTTTTGGGCCAACCTAATATTAAACAAGGAATTCAAAAACGCAATAATGCAATAATATACGAGATGTTCCATTTAAAATAACAAGTTATGTAGCGTCCACACAAAGCTAAAAATATTTTATTTAATGGCTCACATGATTCCAGACAACTTTTATTAAAACCATTTTTTTATAAATTTGACAGTTACAGGGTTACAAAAGAATCCCTCTTAAGCGGAACACCCAGTATAGAGAATTTTTTCAGATCCCTATAGTTTTTTAAAATCAAAATCTATACATTTGTCTCATTTTTAATCACACTTGTATTTATATGTTGAAAATAATTTTTTTTCACGTTAAATTATCGTCATCGAAACAAAATACTGGTTCTTGAAAAACCGAAATTTTGAATTTGAAGAATTTTCTTAGAATAAAAACCAAAACAGCCAAAACATTATCATTGTGTCGAAATAAAATTAATTCAGTGTCACCCACAATTTATTATTATTTTGTTGCAAACTTTTTCATTGACAGAATATTTCTTCCA